TGTAAGCATACAATTATTACATAAAAGAGACAGAGATAGAGATAAATAGAAAAAAAAAACACTGGAAATTGGCCCATAAAAATATATAAGTTGTTACATTTGGTCACTGGAATATAGCTGATGTTTGTATTTTTATTTGCTTAATATACAAGTGTATATTTAAAATACTAAATGTTCAACATCTCAGTAATAAAGTATTATTTAAAAGGTATATGCAAACTCATGAGTACAGTGTTCTACTAAAAAAAAAAACCTTCCATATGAGTCCTAACAGTCAACAAGTACTCTTAAGCAAAGATGAGAAGATAAGGGAGCAGGGAAACTAAAGTACTGGAAACAGAACAACCAAAACACAAGTAAAGAGAATGTGGACACATTGTGAAAAATGGAACTAGTGGCAATGAATAATTTGTGTAGAAGTTGTCGAATGTGGACCTAGTTGACTGCATAAACTCACCAAAAGCACAATAAAATATTATTTTTAAAAAAATGATAACACATAAGCAAATCCAAATAAAAGATATATGCAAAAAAATAATTAGGAAGACATTTTGAACAAGATAGTCATGGTTATCTTCAGATGGTGATCTTTCATATTTTTATTTTCCAAATTTCTTATGATGTATGTGTATTACTTATAAGCAAATGCCTGAAATCTTGTTCATGTTAGTAATGGTCCAAGGGATTCCTTTCTTTGAGACAATGAGATCTAAAGCCCACTTCCCAATTTGTTGCCCATTTTCAATCAGTAGATCTGTATGTTGAGATTTTAATCCAATAGAAATTACTAATATTCATCAATCTGTATATCTTATGTTCTGGCCATAACATACATGGCTGCCCTGTTGGTGAATGAGTATATTTTTGGTTGGAAAGAAGGGCAAGCCTTTCTCTGGGAAATAGGAGGAGGGGGCATGATCACTTTCTTCTTGTATGCCACTTTTGCTTGACCCTCACTCAATAGCTGATGGTTTGGGTCCATCCAAAGTTGGGCAGATGAAAGAGGGAGGACATGGAAGGGTCTGGAATTAACTTATTTGAAAAACACGTCTGTGAAATGACATTGTGCCCCGTGGAAATGGAAGAAGCACCATGGCCTGCTTTTACTCCCATGAGATGCTTACCATCAGCTCCACCACAAATAAACCTGCTGTAATATAAAAAGCCAAACCAAACGCACTGTTATCAAGTCGGATCTGACTCATAGCGACCCTTCCTTGGGTTTCTGAGGCTGTATCACTATGAAAGTAGATTGCCCAATCTTCCTTCCGATGAGTAGCTAGTGGGTTTGAACCACCAGACTTCTAGTTAGCAGTCAAATGCCTTAAGCACTATGCCACCAGAGCTCCTTTGCTGTAATATAGGAGGGGCGAAAAAAAGCAACAACAAAGATGTCTGGATGATTATCATTGGGTTGTGAACTTGAACCCTTCAGAAGTGGAGGGAGGAATGCGAGAGAGCATGCTGTAGATGGTCTGGCCTTCCAGGGCCCCTTATCCCTTTGGCATCTTGATTGAGTGCGAAGGTGAGGAGAGCCCCTCAGAGAGCCACACCTGTATGGATGACCTTCTATTGTCTGTTGGCCCCACCTTCCAGAAGGAAGAGTGAGAGAAGGCAAAAACAATAAAGTCTCCCACTGAGGATGAAATTTCCACATGTGCACTAGTTTGTCTTAGCCTTTGACTGTGAATACCTCTAATTCCTACTCTCTTACACAAGTTTATCAATCTTTCCTAGACCTCTTGTTTCAGTTCCTAGTATCTTGCTGAAAAGTTAACAGAATGTCAACTTGCAAGACTGAAACTTATTTAATCTTAGAGAAAATGTCTCTAGTTATCAATATTTGTCCAACGAGGCCATTCTGGTCTTGAGAAGGTGAAAACTCTCACTGTGACTGTCTAGCCTAAACTAGGGAGTAGCATTATGTTACCAAGAAATAGAGTCTTGTTGGATCTGATCAACGTGAGGATCCTTTTTACTTTGCTGGCCCTATGTGTTCATCATCTGCTCATATCCTAAAGCACTTAGGACTAAGGAGTGGGAAAATATTTCTGGAGCCTATACAACCCCAACCAGCACCACCAAATGGTGGTCATTGGAATGGTGCCACTGAATACCAGTAAAAAAGGACAATTAATTACTTTGTCCTCCTGCTTTAGAAAATCAAACGCATTTGAATGATAGTAAACGTTGAGGGGCATGCACACAGCTAAATAACTTGCAAATGGAAGAACCTTCTTGCTGCCACATCTACCAAATTAATCTGATATTACCATTTGAACTAAGGTTTTGCAGTACCCAATTTCTACCATTCCTCTTGGTCAGCCTTCCCCTGGGCAGTTTTTTAGATCCTGATTTCCTTGTCCAAACCCGGGTGGACAGAGCCCTTGGTCACATTTGCTGTCACTTTCAGCACAAATGTATGAAATATCTTCATTGCAGGTGCTGTGAGTGGCATGGGTCTCTCCTGGAGCCCACCATAGGTGCTCCCTCAATGCACAGAGCTCCAGTTTATTTCTCCCTATTGAAGGAAACCTTCAAGGACTTCACTTTATGTTGTCATTTTTGTCTGAATCGTCTCTGGATGCTTGACTTTCTGGAATAGGGGTGATCATTGTCCCTATCTCATATGTTCACTGCAAAGATTAAATAAATAGGTAGGTTTACAAGTGTTTGACATCTGTTAAGCACTTAACACACTGCTGTTTGGTTTATAAGTGAAATTCTAATTGCAATTGCTCACTTTTTTCCTTTGTATACATGAATATGTGAAAAATGAAATATAAGAGGAACCTAAGGTTAACCACCAACATCATGGTAGCTTAAAGGCTTGGGGTTATATATTTTTCTTTTTTTACTAGGCAGGCACTCGGAAAGTTCCTTTTCAAAGGAATTTTTGGAAAACACTAAAAGGGAGCCCTGGTGGCGTAGTGCCTAAGGCATCTGACTGCTAATCAGAAGGCTGGCAGTTCAAACCCACCAGCCACTCTTTGGAAGGAAGGTTGGGCAATCTGCTTCCATAGTGATACCACCTTGGAAACCCAAGGAGGGGTCACTATTAGTTGGATCTGACTTGACTGCAGTGCACTGCATTTTGCATTTTATTATTTGTAATGCTCATCGATGACTATGATTATATTTTTTTCTACTTTCTCAGGAAGAAAGAGAGGCAGACCTAGGAAACATGTAACTCAGAGAAATAAAGCCCCACTGAAAAGGGGTCGACTAAGAGGTAAAGAAGAAAAGAGGAACTCACCTTCAATAACTAGACATCTAAATTCTTGTGCTTTACTCTGATCTTTAGGAATAAGCCAATTTCCCTATTTATTTTATATATAGCTGTGTTAACTGCTGAGAAAAGTATCAAATTTAGCCCATAGGGTGTCAGGAAAAGAAAGATGATAGTACCACAGACAAGGAACTTGGTGATGGATCTGCAACGAGACCTCGGTGTCCAGGGGACGTAGCAGGGCTGCCTCCACTGAGCTGCTAATTTCTGAGGCAGGAATTAGTCCATTGCTATATAAGGGTATAACTCACACATTGTCTAGCTGACCCGCCTCTTGCTACACAGAGAACCACAGTTTGTACACCAAGGGTGGCCTAGTTCTAGTTGGGTTTATGTCCTAAAACTTCCTCTTCAACTGTGTGGGCTTGGACCTGTCACTTGACTTCTTTTGCATCAGTTTCCTCATCTTTAAGTGAAGGAGGTGAATAAAACCAAATGCACTTCTCTGCCCATCCCAGTTCTCATACTCTGTCTAGTTCAAAACTGGTCTCAGGACCATGGACAACTCTCCCTCCACCATGGTGATGAGAAAGCACTGCCTCTACAACTTTGGCTGAAAGGGCAGGGGCAACTGCTCTTCCTCCCGGAGTGAAACCTTTCCCCCTCACTTGCGTGGGACCAGGTTCCAAGTACCTCCACCATATGCAATTTTATGATTATTCTAGAGCTCCCTTGTCTCCTTTTTCAGCCACAGACAAAGCAGAGGCAGGAGAGAAATAAAACTAAGCAGAGAATCAAAATAGAAGGTAGGCACGAGGCCCCATCTCCATGAAGCTGCCCAGTTGTTTTCCTGCTCAGATGGGGAGTCTAGTCAGTGCTCACACTGGGAGATTCAGAACAGTCTCTCACATTGTTTCTAGCTACTTGGACTAGCTGGAGAGCTCCCGTCAGAACATTTATGGCAGCTGTGTATTTCATTGTTGTTTAAGAATCAATGGGGCCAAAGAGATTGGGGGTTAAGATGATTTCATTGAAGTCTGATTTCTCTGCTAAAGCATTCTGTTTTGTGTAAGACTTGAGGGGTCAGATTGTGGTAGTTATGTTACGTTGTTGTATATAAAAATTTGCCACTAGGAAGAAAGACTTTGCAATTCCAGAGATTTGTGGAATAAAGCTCCCTAAGAATCCCTGTATCTTTATGGGAATTACCTCAACAGGAGAGGAGGCAAGGGTGTACAATTGTAAAATGAAACAATGAAGAAATCTTCTTCTTCAGGTTTGAGAAGGCACATGGATGAAACTGTGGATTTTGACTCCCCTTTACTTCCGGTGACCTGTGGTGAGATGAAGGGGACTTTGTATAAGAAGAAACTGGAACAAGGTGGGTTGTATGGTCTTTTGTCATTTGCAACTCCTACCTGAAGGAATCCCAGAATTAAAGGAATTACCCATGTGAGCTTCACAGTGTTAAAGGAATTGGGGTCCAACTTTGGCTTCAGAAAAGGAGGAGAGGATCCCTCAGGTAACATTTGCAACTTTAAAAAAATCATACCTGGTAGGTGCTCGGCCCCACATGAAAGTGTCCTTGAGGATGCCCTGAGAACCAAAGAGAAGTGCAAGAACTTCCAGCCATAGATGGAAACGTCACCCATTTTACTTCGAATCAAGCGTAAAATGGAAGAGGCCCTCAAGCTCCACCTTTGTAACCTCTGTCCCCTCTGGATCAACACCACTAGGCCTGGAGTTTTACATGATGAGATCACAGAACTGAGAACCAGAAACCCTGCATCTCAGCCTCCGCTGTGCTAAGACTGACTGTTTCCTTCTGAGTAGAGAAGGGGACCTTTCTGACCCTGAAATTCCTCATCTGAAAAAGAATATATAATAACCAAAAGCCTCCCTCATGGGGTGGCTATGAGAATTCATGTACAGATTGATGGGAAATGTTTTGTGTTAGAAAATTCTGAAGCTTTGCTAAAACTATCTATTATAATGAACTTTATCTCAGACCTCTCTTCCTTAATATGGCTCTCTGGACAGTACTTAATATAAATATTTGCCTTATGACTAATTTTTTATTGTGGCAATATATAGAGATATATACAACAAAGAATTTCCACTTTAGCACTTCTTACAGGTATAATTCAGTGACATCAATTATGTTCGTCATGTTGTATAACCCTCACCACTATCCGTTTCCAAATTTTTCCATCACCCTTAACAGAAACCCCGCAAGCAATAACTCCCTCTTTTCCCCTCCTTCCCAATAACAGACTGTGGTCTCTTTACACTTGCCTGTTCTACACCAGTTATATAAATGGGATTGTACCATATTTGTCCTTTTGTTAGCGACTTATTTCCTGCAGCATAGTGTTTCCAAGGTTCATCCATGGTGTAGCATATAACAGGACTTCATGTCATTTATGGCAGAGTCACAACCCATTGCACATATGTATCATACTTGTTTACCCTTTCACCCTTTTAGTGATGGGCGTTTGGGTTGTTTCCACCTGTTGGCCATTGTGAATAGTGCTGCAATGAATACTGGTCAACATGTATCTGTTCGTATTCTTGGTTTCAGTTGTTTTGGGTATATATCTAGGGGTAGAACTACTAGGTTGCCTGATAATTTTATGTTTATAACTTTTTGAGGAACCTCTAAACTGTTTTCCACAGTGGCTGTACCATTTTACTGTTCCACCAGCAATGGATAAGTGTTCTATTTCTACACATCTGATTTTCTTTTTTTTTTTTTATTATCTTTTCTTGAAACAGCTTTACTGAGAGATAATTTACATACCGTACAATTTTCCCACTGAAAGTGTACGAGTCAGAAATTTTTCTTTCACATACTCACTGGAGGTGCAACCTACTTTCAGAAATGTTTGTCTCCCCTAAAAGAAACCTCATGCCCATTAGCAATCAATCCCCATTCCCACCCCACCCCACCTGCTAGCCTAAAGCAACAGCTAATCTATTTTCTTCTCGACATATTTGCCTGTTCCAGACATATGATATAAGTGGAATCATGTGATATGTAGTGTTTTGTGACTTAGCTCCCTTCAGTTGTTGTGGTCATTAGGTGCCATCGAGTTGGCTCTGACTCATAACAAACCTATGTGCAACAGAATGAAATACAGCCCAGTCCTGTGCCAGCCTCACAGTCCTTGCCATACCCGAGCCCATCGTTGCAGCCACTGTGTCAACCCATCTCGTTGAGAGCCTTCTCCTTCTTCACTGACCCTCCACTTTACCAAGCATGATCTCTTCTCCAGGGAATGATCCCTTCTCACAATATGACCAAAGTAGGTGAGACGAAGTCTGGTCATTCTCACTTCCAAGGAACATTCCAGCTGCATTTCTTCCAGGACAGATTTTTTAGTTCTTTTGGAAGTCTATGATACTTTCAGTATTCTTCTCCAACACCACAACTCAAAAGCATCGACTCTTCTTTGGTCTTCCTTTATTCATTGTCCAGTTCTCACATGCATACGAGGCAATTGAAAATACCATGGCTTGGGTTAGGTGCACCTTAGTCTTCAAAGAAACATCTTTGCTCTTCAGCACTTTAAAGAGGTGTTTTGTAGCAGATTTGCCCAGAGCAATGCATTGTGTGATGGCTTGACTGCTGCTTCCACTGGTATTGATTGTGGAACCAAGTAATATGAAATCTTTGACAACTTCAATCTTTGACAACTTTAATCTTTTCTCCTTTTATTGTGATGCTGCTTATTGGTCCAGTTGTGAGAATTTTTATTTTCTTTATGTTGAGGTGTAATCCATACTACAGACTGTAGTCTTTAATTTTCATCAGTAAAGCCTTCAAGTAATCTTCACTTTCAGCAAACAAAATTGTGTCATCTGCATATCACAGGTTGTTAATGAGTCTTCCTCCAATCCTGATGTCATGTTCTTCTTCATATAGTCCAGCTTCTTGGATTATTTGCTCAGTGTACAGATTGAATAAGTATGGTGAGGATACAACCCTGATGAACTCCCTTTCTGATTTTAAACCATGCAGTGTACCCTTGTTCTGTTTGAATGACAGCCTCCTGGTCTATGTACAAGTTCCTCATGAGCACAATTAAGTGTTCTGGAATTCCCATTCTTCTCAATGCTACCCATAGTTTGTTATTTTTGTATAGTCAATAAAACACAAGTAAACATCTTTCTGGTATTCTTTGCTTTCAGTCAAGATGCATCTGACATCAGCAATGATATCCCTCATTCCACGTCCTCTTCTGAATCCAGCTTGCATTTCTGGAAGTTCTCTGTCAATATACTGCTGTAACCATTTTTTAATTACCTTCCAAGATTTTACTTGCATGTGATATTAATGATATTGTTTGATAATTTCCACATTCTGTGGGATTACCTTTCTTTGGAATGGGTACAAATATGGATCTCTTCCAGTCAGCTACCAAGTTGACCAGGTAGCTGTCTTCCAAATTTCTTGGCATAGACAAGTGAGTACCTCCAGCAGGGCATCCGTTTGTTGAAACATCTCAATGGGTGTCCCATCAATTCCTGAAGCCTTGTTTTTCCCCAGTTCCTTCAGTACAGCTTCCACTTTTTCCTTCAACACCATTGGTTCTTGATCTTATGCCACCCCGTGAAATGGATGAACATCAACCAATTCGTTCTGGTATGTTGACTCTGTGTATTCCTTCCATCTTGTTTTGATGTTTCCTGCATCATTCAATATTTTGCCCATAGGATCTTTCAATACTTCAACTTGAGGCTTGAAATTTTTCTTCAGATCTTTTAGTTTGAGAAATGCCAAGCATGTTGCTCCCTTTTGGTTTCTAACTCCAAGTCTTTGTACATTTTATTATAATAATTGATTTTTGTCTTGTTGATCTGCTCTTTGAAATCTTCTGTTTAGCTCATTTATCTTGTCATTTCTTCCATTTGCTTTAGCTACTCTCTGATCAAGAACAAGTTTCAGAGTCTCTTCTGACACCCATTTTGTTCTTTTCTTCCTTTCCTGTCTTTTTAATGACCTTTTGCTTTCTACATGGATGATATTGATGTCATCCCACAATTCCTCTGGTTTTCAGTCCTTGGTATTTAATGCATCAAATCTATTCTTCTGATGGTCTCTAAATTCAGGAGAGATGTAATCAAGGTCATATTTTGGCTTCAGCTTCAGCTTGAACTTGCATATGAGGAATTGATGCTCTGTTCCACAGTCAGCTCCTGGCCTTGTGTTGAGCTTCTCCATCACCTCTCCACAGATGTAGTTGATCTGATTCTGGATATTTTCAAGGCTTATCCATGTTATCAATAGCATGAATGAGTATTTCATTCCTTTTTTTTTTTTTTTTTACCAAATAATACATTACATTGTATGGATATACTACATTTGTTTATCCTTTCATCACTTGAAGTACTTTTTGGTTGTTGTGCATAATGCTGCAGTGAACATACATGTACAACTTATTGTGGAACATATGTTTTCAGTTCTCTTGGATACATACAGAAGAGTGGAATTGCTGGATCATATGGTAACTCTATGTTGAATTTTTTTAGAAACTGCCAAACTGTTTCCATGACAGATGCACCACTTTACATTCCCCTAGGCAATGAATGAGTGTTCCAATTTCTCCACATCATCACCAACACTTGTTATTATCAGTTTTTATGATTGTGATCATGCTGGTGGGTAACACTGCTGATGCCAGATGGATCGTGGGTGAGAGCAGGGAATACCAGAAAGATGTTTACCTGTGTTTTATTAACTATCCAAAGGCTTTCAACTATGTGAATTGAAACAAATTATGGTTAACATTGCAGGGAATGAGAATTCCAGAACATTTAATTGTGCTCACGAGGAACCTGTACATAGACCAAGAAGCTGTTGTTCAAACAAAACAAGGGAATACTGAATGATTTAAAAGGAAGGGCGTGCATCAGGGTTGTATCCTTTCACCATACTTATTCAATCTATATGCTGGCAAATAATCTACGAAGCTGTACTATATGAAGAGGAATGAGGTGTCAGGATGGGAGGAAGACTCACTAACAACCTGTGATATGCAAATGACACAACCTTGCTTGCTGAAAGTGAAGAGGACTTAATGCACTTACTGATGAAGATCAAATACTAGAGTCTTCAGTATAGATTACACCTACACATCAACATAAAGAAAACAAAAATCCTTACAAATGGACCAGTAGGCAACATCATGATAAATGGAGAAAAGATTTAAGTTGTCAAAGATTTCATTTTACTTGGATCCACAATCAACATCCATGGAAATCAAACATCATATTTTACTTAGATCCACAATCAATGCCCTTGGAAGCAGCAGGCAAGAAATCAAACATGTTGCATTGGGCAAATCTGCTGCAAAAGACCTCTTTAAAGTATCTATGAGCAAAGATGTCACTTCAAAGACTAAGATGCACCTGACCCAAGCCATAGTATTTTCAATAGCCTCATATGCATGTGAAAGCTGGACAATGAATAAGGAAGATCTCAGAAGAATTATTGCATTTCAGTTGTGGTATTGGCAAAGAATATTGAATGTACTATGGACTGCCAGAAGAATGAGCAAATAGGAATGCTCCTTAGAAGTGAGAATGGCCAGCCTTCATCTCTCACATTTTGGTCATGTTGTCAGAAGGGACCAATCCCTGGAGAAGGACATCATGCTTGGTAAAGTAGAGGGTCAACAAAAAAGGGAAGGACCTTCAACAAGATGGATTGATTGACACAGTGGCTGCAACAATGGGCTTCACCACAGCAAGGATTGTGAGGACGGTGCAGGACCAGGCAGTATTTTGTTCTGTTGTACACAGGGTTGCTATGAGTTGAAGCTGACTATACCTAGAGTAGAAGCTGACTTTCCTGTGAGTTGAAGCTGTTGTACCTAGGGTCGCTATGAGTCGAAGCTATGAGATGAAGCTGACCACAACAGTGGGTCTGAAACAGTAACTCATTGTGGTTTTGATTTGCATTTCCCTAATGACTAATGATGTTGAGGACATGACTATCTTTTATATATGTTAACTTTTCATCTGGGTAACATTTCATAGTTATTTAATATCAGCTATCCATGAAATCCGAGCGGTGTTTCATTCTGTTGTACAAAGGGTCACTATGAGTTGGAGCCAACTCGATGGCACCTAACAAAAAAACAACATCCATGAAATCATGGCATGAAAATCTTTTTCAATAATGACATCAAACCGGGTGAAAAGTCATGTAATAGAGGATGCAGATGTTTCTGTGGTGACACGAATTTCAGGGCACCCACGTACAATCTCCATCACAGAACGTGAAGGCCAGTTCCTGATTCTGCCTCTACATTGGCCCCCAGGGCCAGCTGGAGGCTCTGGCTTATTCTCTATCCGCAGGATTCAATAGCAAATTGAAATTCTCTTGTCTTTGGAATCTTCTGGTCTTCCCTCATAAGTTATTTGGAAATACTTTCAAAAGATCTGTTTGGAAGTAATTTTCACCCTTTTCGAGCATGAAATCAAAGAAACATGCAGGCATAGCAAGAATCTGCTTTGAGGGCCATTTCAGTGTAAGTTTAGGTGTCTGTAAGTCTAAGAGAGGAGGACAGACACTCCTGTTATTGATCTTGAGCCCAAATTGGTTGACTCCAAATTCATTGTGATGGGAGCCCCAATCTGAGCTCTAGGGACAGAGATCTCAGGATCAACTTCCCCTGATCTTACAGGAACCTCGGAGAAGTGTATACAGTGTGAAGATGAAACCTGGCTCACCCTTGGGGAATTTGAAATCAAAGGTGGCTATGCGAAATCAAAGAACTGGAAGCTGAGTGTGCGCTGTGGCGGACAGTGCCTACAGAGGCTGGTGAAGGTATTCCATGAAAAGGGGCAGGGGACATGCTCTACCTTGTTGCATCTTAATAATGAGGTTACTTTTACTCACCAAATATTTTCTGAGTTATAGCTAAAGCACTGAGGCCCCAAGTTTCTATCTCACTTGGCACAGAAGGCCCCACCTTCTTAGCCATAGCATAGTCTTGCACATCAATGCTGTAAGAGGGTCCCCTCAGGAAAAGATATGTGAGCTCATAGGAGGGAAAGGTTATATTGATTTGGGTGCCTGCAGAAAACTTTACGCATTGAAAGAAGAAGAGTTGACAGCATGAAAACCAGAGCCAAGATTGGGCTGGCTTTCTAGGCTTAAGTAAATAGGTTATGGACAGTAAGGCATGATTTATCAGTGGGGTTATGAGTTGAAACTCGTAGTCTAGACAATGGAGAACAAGTGGAGTCTTTGGAGGAGGGAAATGATGTATTTAAAACATTACTTTAGACAGCCATAGAGCCCTGAAATGACTTCCTGTCTTTCTGCCAACAAGTCCCATACTCAACCTATAAATGCTTACCTCCAGTGTCATCCTCTTTGAATACTCCTTGACTAACCTTGCCCTGGTTATACCTTCCCTATTATAGCTCTTCTTACACTGTTTCATTGTTGTTCTTCCATGCATCCAACTTCTCTATGTACTCACCAAGTTTGTCCATCTTTGTGTGCCCAAGGATGATCACACTGTCTGATACCTAGTAGTCCAGCAACAAGTATGTGTTGCTTGAATTGCCCTAGTACAAAGACTCAAGCCAGAGTGCCAGTGGGAGGAATGGAAAGGAGGTGATTGGTATAAAAGACACTGAGAAGGAAAACCTTTCAGGACTCAGGAACGGACCACAAGGGAAAGGAAAAATGCTCTAAAGATGATTTTCCAGCTACCATCTTTTGAAATCTAGTAGAGGTACAGATGGGGAGAGAGAGATAGTTTCTAATTAGACACTTTGGGTTTCAGCTGCCAGTGGGACTTCCAGGTAGAAATATTTGAGGTGGAGATTGGAAATGTCAAACACATAAAATAGAAACACAGAGTAACCACGTACTGGGATCTTTTTTTTTTTTTTTTTTTTTTTTCTTTATCTATCAGGAAGGATTTCTACCTAATCCTCCAAGAACCTATAACAGGAGAAAAAAGGTGAGTATTATATAACTTTCTGCAAGCTCTCATCGTAGAACTGATTTTACTGTACAAAACTTATTTTGTGGTTTCTCAGTGTAGAAATTATGAAGCTCCTTTCTTTTGGTGTGTGCCTTCAGAGTTGCTACTTTGAACAATGTTATATATAAGACCAGGTCTTCCTTGGATATTACACTATTTGAAATGGAGGTAATGATAAGCTATCAAACTAAACATCATAGATGGGTTTTAGCAATAGAAGTAGATGCCATAAGAGTGTCAAAGTTGGAAAGGCAAGCATGATTATAAGGTGATAAAATCATCTTGAACCCAGATCCTGTTTTTCATTAATGTCATAGTTTTCTACTTTGATGAAATCTGATGCTGCAAAACCTTCCTCACAGTCCTTCAGATTACCCCAGTGTGGTAAACAGTTTAACGTGGGACATTATGAGACCATATAGAGCAGGGGTGGAAATTGCATTGGGCTAAACTGTGGTACTCTGGAACTTTTATTCTCCTAGTAGAGACATAGAGATATGGTAGACATAGATACTATAGACACAGTAGAGAGATGGAACAAAGGATAGACTGGATTGAATCCCTTGAAGAGATGGCTATTCAAATAAATGATGGATGCAACAATCATATTCAATATTGTCACTCAGTCTTTCTCTCTTTCCAGCAGGGAAGACTGGAGCCGCATGACGATGACTTAGATGACCCTTATGTAAGTACTAACTCCCTAACCAGCAGGATTAAATTTTCACACTATAAGTTAGAGGTATGCTTCAAGAGACCAGGAGGAAATGTTGGATGGACATAGGAATGCACATGAGTAAGAAGAGAGGCTGAACATCTGGACGCTGGAGACATAAAGATGTAACTGGAGCTGTGAGAGTGATTCTAATCAACTGGTGGTGATAAGGTCTAAGGACAGAAATCTGAGGAATTTTGTCCTTTTAAGTTTTTGTGGAGGAGAAGGATCCAGAAAGGAAACAGATACAGCAGCAAAGCTGACAGAATAAACCCAGGGAGTGAAGGTGCAAAATCAGATGTGCTTGGAGAAGAATGGTCCATGGCAGGGAATGGTGACCACTGTCCCCCTACCACCTCCTGCTCCTCCACCTTCCTTCCCCCACTACTCATCAGTGAGTGAGTCAGTCTCCAAGCCTATCTCATCTTGGGCTCCAAAGACAGTCACAAGATGGGAGGTACTCACCAGTTTTTCTTATGTTGTCTCCACTCATTCAAAGAAGGTAGAACCAGGGAAGTACCTGCACACGTATTGCTCAGAAATTTTCTGATTCACATGTGGATACTAATTGTCATGAGCAAAGCCACTGGATGCACAGTCACTGACCAGTTCTTTGGAATGAATACACAGTGTATGTGTCAGTCTCTTTATACTTAGTCTACAAACTCTTTAGTTTTAATATAACAAACAGAATGTAGTGCTTTCTAAAAGTGTAATCTGCTATATTAAATTCTCAGTAAATCACTCTTCCATGAGTCAATTTAGTCACTGTGTTATAGGCAAAGGGATTTAATAGGACCTTGTTTTATAAGAAGGCCTTTTCTGGTCTGACACAACAGCTGTCTCCTCCTGAACTTCACTGCAGACCAGAATGTCTTCTCTGGAATCTCCACTCAGTGTTGTTCCTTAATTTCTAAGGGAGAAGCATGTCCATGTCCATGTCCATGTCCATGCCCATGCTGTGCACACAATGGCAATGTATTCTAAAGACCTCCCTGATCCCAATGATCCAGGCATTATTTCACCTTCCAGCCAGAAAACTCAGATGATTGTGAGGTGTGCCGGCAAAGGGGACAGCTGTTCTGCTGTGACACTTGTTCAAGATCCTTTCATGAGAATTGTCACATTCCACCTGTGGAAGCTGAGAGGTCAGTGAGATACAGTTCCTGTTACCTCCCTTCTTATAAGAGGTGCCTCCTCCTGCTGAGAACACTCACTTTGCAGACTTCTTATGTATAGATGGGGAAGGAGCAAGGTCCTTGGGTACCAGGATCTACAAGTGTGATCCCAAATTGTTTAATGGACTGGCAGCAAGAGCTTACTACTCTTTGTGTATCAAAGTCCCCTCCTTTGTGACTTTGAGAACTGACTGGATCCTTTTACTTTTGTCCTGTTATTGTCCATTCTTAGACATATGTATCATGGACTTCTGTCAAAAAAGGAAGGGGAGAGAAAATGCCACTTATTTGTGTTCTGTGCTTATTTAGAAAAGGCAAGAAAGAAACCTCACCTAACTCCTGTTTTCACCCTGGTGCCATCAGTCTGATCAAAGCCCAAGTATTCTAGAGGTTGAGACCCACTTCCTGAAACTCAGGCCTGGCAGGCAGGGCTCCTGGTTCTCCTAGCAGCTCAGAGAGAGGAAGAAGAGACCATCACTCATCATCATACCACAGGGGCTGACACCCCTATTACTACCACTGATAGAGGGGGTCATTGGCTTGAGGCCCCCTGTAGGGGTCTAGGACACTCTGAGAGGCATCCCCACAAGGCTGAACCCACTGGCCAATGGCAACCATGGGAATGGTGGCTGTCTCCAGGACCTTGGCCCTGCTCACTTTCTGCCTGACCTCTCAGGACCCCATGGAGCTGCATCTTCTGCATGATGAAAGATTTTTCAGGAAGTCAACAGTGTCAACAGGAATCTGAGGTCCTGAAGAGGCAGATGCTACCTGAAGAACAGTTGGTGAGTTGACTACAAACTACAAAAAAGTCTTCTCTTTTCCCTTCCTACATGAGCAGAGCACACAAAACACCCAAAGGGAGTGTGCTCTTCCAAGTCATACCTGAATCATGGTGTTTTGACCACCGAGACTTGTTATCCAGCCATTAATGTCTGTTTCCGAGATGTGCTCATGGCTGGGGAACTTTCTGGTTGACTGGTTTGCACCATGGCTTCGGCATGGGCATGGGCTGGGCTCATTCCTCCAAGCTGCTTTCCACTTACAACCTCCTTCTTTTACAGAAATGCGAGTTCCTCCTCTTGAAGGTCTTTTGCTGCTCAGAGAACTCCTTTTTTGCCAACATTCCATATTATTATGTAAGTAAAAACACACCATGATTACAGGCTGCCGTGATGTTATGAGTCCCTGAAAGTGTCATGGATGGGATTTGAGACTTGAATTCCATGGAGTGAGAGCACAAGTTGTTACCTTTTACTTGTTATTTCAACAAGATTTGATGGGGATTCATCAAATAGACATTGAACTGTGCTAGTAACACCACTCTCGGTATCTTTGCCCCCAGGATAGAGAGAGTTCTCAGGTCCTGAAAGAACCCATGTGGTTGAACAAAATCAAGAAGAAGCTGAATGAAAAGGGTTACCACCAAGTGGAGGGGTTCGTGCAGGACATGCGCCTCATCTTTCAGAACCACAGGACCTTCAGAACCTTCGAGGTAGGTGGCTTTCCCCGCTTCCACTTCCTGTCCTTTCTGTTAAGCCACTCTGCCCCTTTCCCTGGGGCCTGGGAAACTTCTCAGCTTCTCTGATGCTGTAGCAAACCTGCATGAGCAAGGGCTCTGGAAGCGAATGACTTTTTTCAGTTCAGTTCCTAAGCTCAGTGTGGCAAAGTGGCAGTGAGCCAACTGGTGTCACTGCAACCAGCACCCTAGGCCTCCACAGCCCCTTTACTCTGTAGAAGTGGATGGAGCTCATAGAGGACTGTACTTCAGCTCTCACCAGGCTGCTTCTCCCCCAAATACACTAAATGAAACTTCTCAGAACTCCCAAAGTTCCCAGGTTCCATTACATGTGAATTTCCCAGTGATGGTCCATGAAGTTAACAGAGGAATGGACATGGGAAAAGGAAGAGGCCATACAGTTTACTTTTGACCCTCTGAACTGCCTTATTGCTACAAAGAGTATAGATTACATTCATAATACTCAGTAAAATAAGTAAGAAATAGGCCCCAAGTGCAGTCTAGCTTATAAGAACTGCTCGTGGTCTCAGGGAACAGAAGAGACTTTTAGCTTCATGAGGTTTTTAGTTTAGCCTTACTTCTGATAGTGTAGTGCCTAAGGCATTGGACTGCTAATCACAGGGCTGGCGGTTCAAACCCACCAGTAACTCCTCCGAAGGAAGATTGGGCAATCTACTTCCATAGTGATACTGCCTCGGAAACCCAAGGAGGGGTCGCTATGAGTTAGGTCCGACTCGACGGCACATAACAACAACAACAATGTAGCATGTGGGTCTTGGTCATTCTGAACTGTAGCGTGTCTACAAATGCTAACAATGAGCATCATTATTTTTGTCTTCTGTTTTTTTCAGAACCAGAAGCTTGGCCAAATGGGACTTAGACTGGAGACTGAATTTGAGAATAATTTCAAGGAAATATTTGCTATTCAGGAAACAAATGAGAACAGTTCGTTCATGTAATGATGCTGCTGGTGCCCTGGCCAAATGCCCTTTATCGACCCCTTTCCAGAGGATTTTGCTGGGCCAAATGGAGGCAGCTTCACCTGGAGGTTATGCCCCTTTGCCTCATGGGGGAGCCAATCCTCTGGTGTTATTCACACTCCTGTGCTCCCCATGGAGTCAAGGTGGAGAGCATCCTTGTTTAGATTTTCCACTCACCCTATTATCCTTCCTTCCCTCCCATAATAAATCACTTGCCTAAGAGACTTCATTGCATTCTGCTCTTTTAGGGACCCCAACCAAAGAGAGTCGATACCAGAAATGGTCCTAGAAAGCATGCTTTTAGGGTAGGATTCTGGAGCAGAATCACTCTCTAGCCACATGGTGATAGGCGAGTGTTGCTAGTCCCTGGAATGCTGAAACAGTGCAATTGCCAAAATGTCACCTGTGGTAACTGGATGAGCTATAGGTAAAGGGGATACAGTGGCTGATACAATTGTCTGACATTTAAGAAGGGAGAAATCATAACTACAAGAACTGTGGATTTATGTGACCTTTGACAAGTACAATTGATGTTTTGGAAAGAGTAAATGACAGGCTTAGATCAATTGATAGCAACCATCAAAGGCCTTCTTGGGAAGCACTTACAGAGAGCCCCCATACCTACAGCTAGAAGGCAAGCACTAAAGAGGGCCTGACATAGGTCCTAATATCAAGATGGTAGAATTTCAGAGAAGATTGAATTAGGGGTAGGGTGGTTTCTAATGCCAAAGGCAGGCCCTGATAAAGAAGGAGCATGGCCATGAAGTTTGGAACAGGGACATCTGGATAGATGCACATGAGAACCTTGACCTTCAGATGCTCCTGAGCCTACTGGTCCTACAAAAGTGCCCCTTGTTATAAGATAGAGCTACCCCCTGCCATCTTGCTCGAATGAAGACTCCTTGGACTTCTGCAATACATTGGTCCAATTGGTAACTACATTGTATTGGTCCAATACAGTGATGAGTGTATAGTAATTACACTCACTGAACAAGACATGGCAAATGTTCTCAATACCTTGTTAAATCACATGCACTCCAGATGGTGGGAAATGAATCCTACAATCCTGCCATCTAGGTGAAGTTTTTAGGGGTTCAATGGTCTGAGGCATGTTAAGCCTCCAAAGATGTAAGCTATTCCTCCTTATACCTCTGACCACCAAGAAAGAAGTACAATGCTTGGTAGGGCTCTCCAGGTAAGAATAACCATGGTTGATAACCTGAAGAAATAATTCCAGTCTTTGTAGGGTGTGTGTGTGTGTGTGTGTACTATCTTGATATAATGTGCTATAACCTATGTTTCCAATTAATAATATATTTTGGACATTGTTACATGTATATAAATTTAGCTAAATAGCCTCCTTTTTGATAGCTAAATATCATTGCTATCATAGCTTCCATTTTTCATCAAGCCTTATTGCAGTTTTCTTTTTGGTTATTTTTGGTATTGTAAGAAGGAGTGATTTGAACTGATTATAACTAAACAAAAAAACTCACTACCATTGAGTTGATTCCAACTCATAGCAACCCCCTTTGGGTTTCAGAGGTGGTAAATCTTTACATAGTAGATTGCGCAGTCTTTCTTCCGCAGAGTGGCTGGTGGGTTTGAACCACCAGCCTTCCGGTTAGCACTCAGATGCCTTGGGCCCTATGCCACCAGAGCTCCTTTTAAGCAGCAGCATACCCTGGGGTTTAAGAGCAAAGACTCTAAAGTTGGCCCATGGAGGCGGAAACCCAGGTCCTCCACTTGCCAGTGGCCTGTCCTTGTGCAAGCTGCTTGCCCAACCTCATTTAGTTTAGTTTCACCTGAAGAATGGAGATACCAGGAGTACACAGCCAACTGGATTCTCATGAGGATTAATGAGTTCATATGTGTTGGCCCTGTGAACAATAAATAAACAAAATTTATAAAAGCGACACACAAAGATTCGTGTATCGTTTAGGGCTCTTTCCAGCAAGAGAGATCATCTCTATCTGGTTCAAGGAAAGGGAATTCACTGGTGAGATAGCACAAAGGACAGGGAGGGCAGGAAGGCCAGTGTGCAGCCTGCACTCAGCCCAGCAACCAGAGCAGCTTCAGGAACTGACCACCAGGAGCAGCCCGGCCACACTGTGAACAAGCTGCCACAAAGCAAACGCTTTCCACCTGTTCTAACACCTTAGGCTATTTCACTCAGGCTCATACTCCCAAAGGAGAATCTGGTTAGTCTGGTACGCAAAAGGGCCAGCCTCTTATCAACAGTCCCTCTAGTCCTGCAGCAAACAGGAGAGGCAGTTCACACAAGGAAACCTCTACTCTTAGGAAACAGGGCGGGAGGAGCCTGGATGGCAGAGAAAAGCAATGCTGATTCACTGTGGGGACCAGTGCTAAGTAACAGGAGGAGGGGCAGTTGCAGGGGGTAAGGAGGGCCCAGAACCTGGTAGGCCTTGTCCTATCAGAAGGGGCAGGGTGATTGTGTTGCCACTGCCGTGTACGGTGGAAGCAAAAGCTGAGTTGGTCATCACACTAGAAGGGAAGGAGTCACTTCACCCAGTAGGTAGCCAAGGGGAAAGGAAATGGACTAAGACCTGTGGGTCCAGTTTACCAGGATTCAGAGAGGCAGGGCATTTGCTGTGATGCTGAGTGCTTGGCTGTGTTCTGACCTTCGGCAGAGTGAAGTCGCATCCCTGGGAGCTGCCGGTGGAACTGGGACTCTTATCACCCATGGCTACCTCTTACTACAGGCTCTCAGGGCTGTTTGCAAGGACCCTGTTCTGGTTCCCTTGTACCGCTCTGACAAGAATATACCACAAATGGGACGGCTTTAACAAACAGGAGTTTATTCTCACAATTTGGAGGCTTTAAATGCAAGTTCAAAGTGCCAGGCTTTAGGGGCTGGGTGAAGCCCCTCAGCCTTGGGTTGCAGCTCTGCCTCCTGCTCCCGGCCCACTGGAGCTAGAGGCGTTTCTTCACTCAGGCAGCTACTGGCTGCTGCAGCTGACAAACCCAAGGTTGACAAGTAAAAAGGCACAGTCCTGATGTTACCAAACTACACAGCAGGCCATTAATTCAAGTCTCTTGAAAGTCCCAAGGTCAGCAGAGCATGGCAGGCTGCTGAATAACACGGCTACATGCAGGGTTCATGTTTGACATAGGCTAGAGACTATCCCCAAGGCTTCTCCTTATATACAGGAAGCAGACCACATCCCTAAGGCAGCTACTCAGCTGCTTGTGATAGATCCCACCATGGAGCTGATTGCCAGTCTCATCATGGGGCATAACTACCACCAGCTGCCCAGCCACTCAACCAGGCCCAGCCAAGTTGACACACAAACAAAACCACCACAGGCTCCTAGTCTTCAGCTCTTCTGTTGTTTTTGTTGTTATGTGCCATCAAGTCAGTCCCGACTCATAGCAACCCCTCCTTGGGTTTCCGAGGTGGTATCACTATGGAAGTAGATTGCCCAACCTTCCTTCAGAGGAGTGGCTGGTGGGTTTGAACCGCCAGCCTTCTGGTTAGCAGTCAAGAGCCTGCTCAGCTCCTCTCGTCATCAACAAGCACCCCGTCTCCTTTGTTGGATGAAGCACCTTGGTGGGGGGGAGCAGGTTCTCCAGACCCCTCAGTGTAAACCAGGGGGATGCCTTCCCTGGGCAGTCTCCCACAGCCTCAGAATCTGCAGCCAGGACGTGTACTTGTCTTTGCTGTGTTTTCTATTAGGCCAAAAACTCTCACTTATACACAGCTGGGTGCTGTTTATGTCCAAGCTAGATGCACAAGGAAGTGAGAGCGCGAAAGAGGCCGAGGGGAGGTCGTGGCATGAACCCTTGGCAAGAGATGGCTGCCTCACAAGTTCTTGAAGCAAAAACCATGTTCAAGCACATCACCCAAGCTCCTCCTTAACAAAAGAAAGCATTCTTGGGCCTTGCAGCCACAACTTTGATGTCTCATCTGTGTAGATGATTTGAAAGTATTGACAGCTTTGTACACATATAACACACATTATACAGTTTCATGCAAACTGTACAACCCCCTCGTGCATTAGATTCCTATGAGCACATTGTGTGTGGGAAAAAATAGGTAACTCCAACTGAAATTCTAGAATAAGTCCTGCCTTCCCCGGGCACGTTATTTGCTTTGTTAGTTTGTTTTCCGCAGCCAGCCTGCTCTAAGTAGGTGTGTATTTGTGTTCGTGTGAGCACAAAAGTGCAAAGTATGTATACTTTGGGGCTGGGTATCTCTCAACAAAATTGTCCTTCCGGTTAAGTGGTACAGTGGGTTAGCTTATCTTCCTTGATGGGCAGGGGCCCAGGGCTCAGGAGCTACCGGTGCTTCCAGAACCAGGGTTGGGCGCGGTAGTGGGCGCGGTTCGTCTGCTGCTTAGGTGGGACACCTGCGCCTGATCCAGGGGAGAAAACGCCTAACCAGGTGAATCTCACAGGTAACTGTGAACTCTGGACAGAACTCAAAAAGCAGCCTTCTGAGGCCTAAGTCAGTCAGGGTTGGGCGAAGACAAGACACTTTGATCCCAAGTCTCCATGGTGTCAGAGAAGCGCTAATGGCAACGGAAGGTGAAGACCACACCCAGGAAGTACAGGGGAGGCGGGTTTCCTGAAGGCAACTAAATGAACAGTCTCCCCTCTTCTCCTGAACACTCGTTCAATACCATCATTTTTTGCAGCTTGTTTGATATTTGTAAATGCTTCAGATTGCTTGCAGTGGAGTAAAACCCTGTGGCTGGAATGGCCTTGGCGGTTAACTGCAGCTGGGGTCATCCTGGAGTAGGGTGCAGAAGGCAGGTCACCTCCTAGGGGCCAAGTCACAAAGCCTCCCTGGCAATTTGAACCAAGATTTCTGTGTCTGTGCCATGAGCCCATGTATGTGGCCACGAACAGCTAAATATCGAAATTAGCTTAGAATCCAGTCCTTGAGTTGGACCATTTTAATTTAGAAAGAAATAACGGCACTTCTATTCCTGATTTTGAGGTGTTTGGATGTTTATAAGTTCAAGAAGAGAGGAAAGATTTTTGGTTTTTATCTCCCCAAACACGCAACAGAACCCAGGTCTAAGGAGGCTGTAATACTAGCTTGGCCACTAGAGGGAGGTGTAGACTTGGCTGGAATGACGGAGACATGAGGGTCTGAGTTGGTGGTGACAGGAAGGGTGTTAATGTGGAAATTTAAAAGAAGCTCTTCCTTCCTAAGTGAGGAGTATCATGGAAGTAACAGCTCCTTCCTTGCTTTGGGTCCCACATGAGGCTGGCTGACCTCACTGGTTGGGTGGGTGGCATAAGGAAGGCGTTGTTGTTATGTGCCTTCAAGTTGGACCCAACTCATAGCGACCCCTCCTTGGGTTTCAGAGGCGGTATCTCTACGGAAGTAGATTGCCCAACCTTCCTTCCAAGGAGAGGCTGGTGGTTAGCAGTCAAGTGCCTTAGGCACCATGCCACCAGAGTGCCTCACAAGGAAGGTATACAAGATGAAATAATGGATCTCAAAGAATGGGGTCCTGGCCACCAGTAACCAGGGCACAGGGTGATGTCTGTCCTCATCCAATTCTGGATGACATGTCACCCATCCTTCCCTGAGGCTGATCCCAGGCTTAAACTGAAGGGCTATGGGTGATGGCGCTGAACTGGGTTGCGGGGCCCTGGGCAGCTCCTTCCTCCTCAAGCTGCACAAGCAATGTGAGCATCCTTGGGAACGTTTCTCATTGGTGGTCCCCAGATCTGCAGAAGGTGGACTGCGTGGACTTCCGTCCCCAATGCCCCCTCCTCACTCTCCACAGCCCTTCACCCTTTAACCCCTTCCTCCTCTGCTTCAGTGTCATTCCCCTCCCCCTTTCCAAGGATTCACTGTCGTCATGAGAGCTTGTCAACTTTGTACCCTCAGGTGTCAAAAACTCCACCACCCCTGCTGCCCGGCTATCACTGTCAACCACTCAGAGGGGGATCTACGTAGGAGATCCTGGATAGAGAGGGAGAACAATGTGGAACAAAACTCAAAATCATTTGGGGAAAAAAAAAGAGGGGAAGGATGACCAGGTTTGCTGTTCTGATAGAGCCTGGTGGAACCACTGAGACTATGGCCCTAGCTGCCCTTCAGGTCTGGAATTGAACCCACACCTGTGGCTTCCAGCCAAACAAAAGACAGGCATATGAGTTGAACATTTACCTTAGGCAGACACACTCCTTGAAGGGAACAATCATGGAAGAAAGAAGGACTGTTTATGCACACGGAGACAGCTCAGGGGGCAGGGGTACATGGAAGGATGGACACAGGGAAGAGGTAACTATTGGGAGGAAGTGGGAGGGGAGCTGTTGCATTGGGGTAAGTTGTAGTCAATGTCACGACACAAAGTGATGTGAACTGCTGCACGGAAAGTGAATTTGCTCTGTAAATTTTCACCGAAATCACAATTAAAAAAAAAAAAAAATACCTCCACCATCCCTTAGCCAGTCACTGACGTTGTCCTGAGGGGGGATGGGCTCTGTATCACTCCAGCCCTCCAAGCTGAAATACTGCCACCAAATGTCTGGATCCACAGGATGGTTGCATCCTGACCATGGAACTGAAAGGGACCATGAGCTCTTTGCTCTTCACTCATCCAGGGCCCAGGGGAAGAGAAACGGAGGCTGAGCCACATACACATGTGCTGGACAAATTACATTCCTTTCCCCACCTGAGTCACAAAGCAACCGAGAGACAAAGCACTATGACAGAAGAGGATCGAAATGCCATCTTTACTCCTGATAAAGGCTGGATTGGGGGCTGTAACTCCAAAGTGTGGCAACAAAGAACCCTATAAATGAACCCCCGAATTGGGCTTGTCCACACAGCTCAGGTTGCTCCAGCCATACATGGGCTTGGTTCTCACAAGCAGGGTGATGCCCCCGGGGCCCACCAAGGAGCTGACTCACCCACTCCTGCCAAGCTTCCCGATCAGAGAAGTCTTCCCCAGTGACACTGAGGGACCAGGAGAGTTTGCAAGTTGATGTCCTGCTTCCTGGAAGGAGATACTGAGTGACTGAGGATAGAGTGCTCTACGGAAGGTCCCAGCACCTGATCTTCTGTATCTTCACGCATGGACGGTGCCTGGCTCTTTATCCCCAAGCCACAGTGACTGCTGTCGCCACTGCCTCCAGCCTTGAATTCTCAGGTCCTGGATGAACCTCAGGTCTCCACAGGGGTCCCCAGGTTGGGGACTCATCCTCCAGGACAGATGTCTGAACTGAAGCAGCTCCTGGTTCCGGTGATGGGTCCCAATCGCCATTTCTCCTGCATTTGACTTTTCCAGGGCTCCAGTAGCTTGAGCTGTTTCGTGGTGTGTGGGACCTCAGACATGTTCCCTGTTGCCACTGCTTGGGCAACCGTGGAAAATACCCCAGGGGTTCCCTGACTTCCTTCCAGTCAGTCCAGCCCAGTTTTTAGGTGGTCAACCAGCTTCTTCAGTGGGCCTTGTCTCTTCCCAACTTGAGTGGCTCTAACGTTGGCTGGATCAAAGAAACTTGGCTCTTTCATAGAGCTCCATGGATTCCATGGAAACCACCCATGCTCTGGTAGACTGTGGCCTGATCCAACACAAACGTCTCCTTCCCTTGTGCAGGGAGCCGCTCCAACATAGGGTGTGCACCTCCCTGAAGGTGGTCCCTATGGATCCCTCTAGCCCCACTGTTCATCACCCTCTGTTCCAGGTGCTGATCTTGGCAGACCATTAGCTGACCACACTGGCACATTCATGAGGTGCCCAGCTCAGCACGGCCTGGGCCTGTCTGCTGCCTTGGGGCAGAGAGAACAGCAAGGTGGACCCAGAGCTGGTAGAGTCGTTAGACCTCGCGTCTAGTCCACAATGCCCCACAGAGGCTGGGGGCTGAGGAGAGCTTTGCCTAAGAACAGCTCAGCTTACTGCCCCATCTTCCCCACAGAGGACAAGTCAGGGCTGGAGAGAGGAAACACAGAGAGAGACCTACATGTGTGCAGCCCCTGGCCACCAGTTACAGATGCCCTTACTGTGTCCGGGAATCTGTTACAGGCAGACTGCTACTCCCTCCTGTGGGAGTAGAGAGAGGGGAGCTACCTCCTGCCCCTATATAATGGACAAGAACCCTTAGAATCAGCCTGAAGAGAGAGGATTCGGTGGGATGTATGGCAGATTGCACCCCAAAGCATTATCTGCTCTGGCTCCACAATCTCACCTGCTTCCATTGCCTGCCCTGTCTTGGGGTCTGGACGCCACAACTCCCCTCTTTCATCCCCTCCTGTGTCTTGGGCTCTGGACTCCACAACTGCCAACCTTCTGTCCCATGCCTTGTCATAGGCCCTGGATTCTACAGCCCCCCTGGCTCCCTTTTCTCTGCCACACAGTTCTGACAACACTCTGGTCCCTGGTTGGGTCTTGTGGTTCCAGTATCTTGTTCCCTTTGCCTCTGTTCCCTTTCTGTTCAGTCAAAAGCATATCTATGGAAAACAGCACCTATGGCAGGCACTGAAATGCACCCATTCAAACATGCGACATCCTCATTTAGAGACTTTACCATAATATGACCTCAAAAATACAAGTCAAGCACGTTAATCTTTTACTTACCACATGGCAGCACTACATGAAAATGACAGCTGCACCTTTCTTGCTTTCACAGATAAGAATTGGTCTAGGATGGATTCAAAGGCAATTTTTTCAGTTTCTGCTCTTTCTACACTCAGCAGAGTAAGATCACACAGTCTGCCTTGACCCAGGGAGGCTGGTGAATATGAAAGCACTCACTCTAACTGCTGAATGGTCTCTCATAGCTGGCGATGGAAACTCTGATGGTTCATAGAAACTGCTCAGTGGTGTCCTGTTCAGGGGGTGCCCAGGCCTGCGCCATCCCTGCCATCCCTTACATACCATCTGCCTTCAGTTGTATGCTGTCCTGAAGTAAGTCTTGTAGGTTTCTTCTTCTCCTTTGTGGGAGGATAACAGAATATGAAGAAACATGCATGCACAGATAAAAGTCCCAGGCAGGGGGTCGTCCTCCCAGAGGGGCTCCCCTGCGCTTCAGCCTCTAGGTCCTCTGGGTTCCACCTCCATCCCAATCTAATGAGAAGGCTTTCCCTCCTCAAGATGGCGGGCGTCTCCTCGTCACTCCTGCTGCAACTGCGAAGCTGCCCGTATCCGAAACACCTTAAAGGCCTGCAACTGAACGGGTTAATCACGGTCACCAGCTTGGCTCCAGCCTCTGACACCAGGCAGGAGAGTTCTCTCTCCCTGGTTGCTTTCCTGAAATGCCAAGGCCCTCCTCCCCCGGTGATAACGCAGGGCATTTCTGCTCTCCCCAGCCCTGCGTCAGACCGCAGGCACTGCCTTGCCCAATCGAGGCTCACCAGTGTGTCGGGCAGCCGATGGGCTAGAGCGGGAGCCTCGTTTCTGGCTTTCCCTTCTTTCCCACGTGGCCTTCACAGCATCAGGGGACAGGGACAGAGTCCCAGAGAACGGCCCACTTGGGAGGTTGAAGCAGCTGTGGCCACTTTTGGTTCTAACAGAATTTTTTAGTCTATCTTTGCACCAGCAAGTGATCTCCTCGGTGCTGGGCCCCAGCTCCCCTCCGAGGCTGCCCATTCCCTGCCCACCCCCCTGCTTGGTCCCTGCTGCCATACTCCATGAAAGCCCAGAACTGTCCTGGAGGTAGGGGAGGAGGGAGGCACGTCCCATACAGCCCATCACACGTGTTTGAGTAATTACTTTCACTTTCTTTTCCCTAGTGGGGTGGAGCCCTCAGACTTCCTGCTCAGGCCCGGCAGCCCCACTGGACACAGGCTGAGCGACTGCGGGCTCTGAGGCCCAGCAGGATCAGGGCAGACAATGGCAGACAAGAGCTGTGACCCCAGCAACAGGTGAGTCTGCGACTGGCTTCTTCCCTCACCCCTCTGTGGGGCCGCGTTGCTGCTTCAGGAGGCAGTGAAATGAGAAATCCAGGTGTGCACACAGCAGGCCAGCTGGTGGCAATGTCCAGCCTGCGAGACGCACACGCCGGTGAGTTCCGAGTTTGGACGCTACCGCTCAGCTAGCAAGCCTGCTGGGGCCCAGCTGCCCCTTCAGAGGCTTTGCCCCGGATCTCTTATTTCCTAGTGACCTTTGAACCCTCTCATTTTCCTCTGACTTCCTCTGCTTTCCAGATCATCATTCCGCAGACGTAGTTGACAGTGTTTAAAATTCAGAAGAACACCTGACTTTCAGCATTGGGTGCTGTGGTCTTTCCCGTCCTGTGGACGGGCCTCAGGCGGCCCTGGGCTATGCCCATCTCTGGCTCAGGGACCAGAGCTCAGGATCTGAGCACTTTGACACTGCTCTTGATTAAAAGAAGTGAAAAGGAAGGTAAAGACCCAAAGGCAGCAAAAGCCTAGTGCACGTGGAGTATTTTTCTTTTGACCTTAATTCTCTGTTTTGGGATGGGTTATGGAGGAGCCCTGTTGGTGCGGTGGTTAAGTGCTCATTTGCCAACCAGAAAGTCAGTTGTTCGTACCCACCAGCCACTCTCCAGGAGAAACCTGTGGAAGTCTGCTTTGGTAAAGATTTGCAGCCTTAGAAACCCTACGGGGCAGTTCTGCCTTGCCCTATAGGGTCTCTATGAGTCGGAAACAACTTGACAGCGTGGGTTTGGGTCTTTTGGGTGGGAATGAATATACCTTTGACAAGGAGAGCCTACCTTCTTCTCCACGTAACATATTCAGAAATATCATTTAATATTTCTGAAATTTTCATTTTTTTCCTAAAGAAAATATTACATTTTTCATATAAGAAATATATCACATATTCTTGTTTATAAAACTTTGAACAATATAGAAGTACATTGAGGGAAAAATTGTCGCCACTGACCTCCCTGTAATTGCCAATCCTACACTGAGACATGGGATTGAATAACAGTTGTGGGCATAGCTTCTCATGCCTTTCGCTACATATTTGTATGTATATTACTTCTGTAAATACATAAGTTGTGTTCTTGATTTTCAGTAAATGGGATGGTATTGCAATACTGTTCAGAATTTTTAATTTTTACTTATTTTAATAGTGAGTATCTTAGAGATCTCCTCACATGAATACATATAGGTCTCCAGAAATTATTTTTAACAGCTACAAACTATTCCATAGACTCAATATACTAAAATTTCCATATGGATGAACAGATACGTTGTTTTCAATTTTCACTTTTGTAAACAAACTGTGATGGAAAGAACTGTATGTTTCTCTTGTTATTTTGCACATGTACCAAGTTTCCTGTGTCATTAACAAAAAAAGTAGAGTTGTTGAGGCAAAGAGTACTAAATATTTACTTGTTTGTAGATTCCCTCAATTGCCTTCCAAAGTGTCTGAACCAATATATACCCACTGCCATTGAGTCCATTCCGACTCATCGCAACCCTACAGGACAGAGCAGAACTGCCTCCGGAGGGTTTCCAAGGCGGTAAATGGTTACGGAAGCAGACTGCCTCTTCTTTCTCCCTCAGCGTGGCTGATGGGTTCAAACCAGTGACCTTTTGGTTAGCAGCCCAATGCTTTAACCATAGCACCAACAGAGCTCCGAATCAATATATACTCCTACCAACAGCAGCCAATGAGATGAGCCATCTCTCCACACCCAGCCTGACTTTTCTAAGGTGATAAAGAGTTGATGTTCTTTTCAGCTGCATTTTCTTGATTACATGGGAGGTGGAGCATCTTACCTGTTGATGGAACGTGTAAATTCCTCCTCTGTGAATACCTGGTTTATTTCTTGCCAACGATACTCAGCTGAGGTGTTTGTTCTTTCTTTAACAATGTGGAAGAGCTTGTTAAATATTCTGAAGATTATAAACACGCTTTCTTTGTCTTTCAGTTTTTTTATAGTGTCTTTTATCTTATTGAATATTAACGTTTAAATTATAAACTTATTATGTTGTTGTTGTTGTTGTTACATGTCATGGAGTCAGACCCGACTCATAGCGACCCCTCCTTGGGTTTCCGAGGCAGTATCACTACGGAAGTAGATTGCCCCATCTTTCTTCCGAGAAATAATAATAATAATAAACTTATTATAGTATTTTTTAATAGATGCATTCTCATTGTTAAAAATAAATTAAATGATGTAGGTTACAAATAAATTCCACATGTGCTATTAGATGTTCATGCTCTTTACATCTGCTCTGGTGGCGTAGTGCCTAAGGCATTTGACTGCTAACCAGAAAGCTGGCAGTTCAAACCCACCAGCCATTCCTCAGAAGGAAGATTGGGCAATCTACTTCTGTAGTAATGATGCCTTGGAAACCCAAGGAGGGGTCCCTATGAGTGGGATCAGACTCAATGTCAGTGAGTTTGGTTTTTTGGTGTTTTACATCTGCAGACTTGGCTCTCACCTTCATTTCAGGGCAAGTTCCCCCTTTAATATCTCAAAAATGTTCTTTTTCAATTTTGGGGTAAACTTATCCATACACTGGAGCAACTCTGTCCTTTACAGCTTTCCTCTGCCTCCTGATAGTTTCATCTCTGTAGTTTTTACTTTGAGTTCATAAAGGTTGTCTCAAATTTCTCCTCTATGACAGTTTCAAACTTTTTGAAGAATTGATTGGGCTTTAGCAGGTGGGAGGTCTACCTTGACAATGTAGAGATAGGTTAAGACATGAACCCGCAGTCCTCAACAGAATGGCAGAGGTAACACTTGAATGGGCTCTAGAGAGATTCTGAGATGAAGTAGTGGAGATCGTGAATACAGAAACAACGTCTAGGGATTATCCTAGTAAGAGGCAAGTGGAATGTAGGGAACTTGTCCAGTTGGTGATATTTAAGCAGGGCTTTGTGGTTATAGGAACATTCCAGTAAAGACGTTGGTGAGGCATGAGAGAGGGGAGATGATTTTTAGAGCAAATGTCCCTGAATCAGGGAGTGGTGATGGGAAGCAGTGTCCAGTGGGATGTGCTACCCTTAGATTGGAACAGGACAGTGCTCGCTTCAACAGCCCAGATACTAGATTGGAGGAGGACATTCCACGAGTTATAGCACCGCAGTTGGGGTTAATCGGGAGTCACCATGATCGTGATTGAACCAAAAACCCACTGCTGTCGAGTCCTATCCGACTCATGGAGACCCCTCCTTGGGTTTCCGAGGCAGTATCTCTATGGAAGTAGATTGCCCAGCCTTCCTTCGGAGGAGTGGCTGGTGGGTTTGAACTGCCAGGCTTCTGGTTAGCAGTCAAGTGCCTTAGGCACTATGCCACCAGAGCTCCTATGATCGTGATTGCAACCATGCAAATGTGCTCTATAGCTGTATTATCATCATGGCCCTTTCCTTTACAGTATAACACACACACACACCCCAACTGCTTTATTACATATTTCTTGGATTTTTGTGTCCTCATTTTTAATTTTTCCCAAAATCTTGTACTGAACTCCGAAACACCTCTCAATACTATTGAGCACATTAGTTAATTTATTAGTTATATTTTATATTCTTGGAGACGGCCCTCCTGGAACCCTCTAATCTCCCACTCCAGTCTAGTTACTCTAGACCTTCAGGGTGACCTTCTGAAGCTTGGCCTCTCTCCTATTTGAATCTTCTGTTTGTGTGTTGTTTATTATTATTATTGTGTTCATTCCTCCTTCTTCTTCAACGCCACCATTTTGGGTTAGCACATTTATCCAGCAGCCTCCTGAGAAAGAGTTCGTGGAAGGTGTACACACATTGTTAAAATAATTGATCCATGAATCCATGGGGAGACAGAGGCTTCTTTACTTTCTGTTCTCACACCTGGGTCAGAACTTGGTGGTGGGTGCAAAGGTCTTATATGGAAATTAATTTAGTCCATTTTCTTGCAGTTTTTAGTATTGTTATTGAAAAGTCTGATGTCATTCTGATTCCTGATCCTTAGTCTGACACCTGTGGTGTTTTTTTTTTTTTTTTTTTTTAAATTTTGATTTGGGTGAAGATTTACAGAGCAAATTCACTTTCCATACAGCAGTTCACATATACTTTGTCTCATGACATTGACCACAGTTTACCACAATGCAACACCTCCCCTCCCACTTCCTCCCCATAGTTACCTCTTCCCTGTGTCCATCCCTCCATCCCTCCATGGACTACTGCCCCCTGAGCTGTCTCCCTGTGTCTGTCACCTGTTTTATCTCTCTTAAACTTTTTGCTTCCTCTCTATAATCCCTTGATTTCTGAAATTTCGTGATGGTTTGCTCTACTGTTGGTGTGAGCGATCATCATTGCCCTG